ACTCACCGAAGACAATGGAAGATGGACGCGCAATTTTGTGGATTGGTTGATGTTAGACATAAACACCGTTGGATGCCGGTCCAGTGGTCTAGAGGTTAGGCATTGACACGTGAGACCGAAAATCCTGGGTTTGAATTCTACGTGCTGGACCGTGGGTGCTAACTGCTGAGAAGTTCCGCTCTAGGACGAGACGGCTGTCCAGTGCTTCCAGGTTTTCAGTGGTGGTCTAACATTGATCCATTCATAACCACAATTCTATTTATTTCATGTTTTTTGGCAACAAGAAGAATAATAATCACTTGAAACTTTATTCACAAGATATTTTAAAAAATAACTTATCCAATCTTTTTATCGATGGCCAATAAAGCGACTTATGTCATTATAATAGAATAAGATACTTGGCTTCACTTAAAGTTCATATGTTTTTTAAATAATTATTACCAGATGTATGTTAATTTAAAGCAATAATGCTCCAGTATGCAATTCTATCGATTGAAATGTAGGACAGTTGAATAATGATCGAATCCCTAAACTTATATCTATTCGGCACTTGGTCTAAATGTCACCTAAAAGTTATTCAATTAGGTAAGAGAGTGAAATCACTATTCTTTGCACAAAGTATACAGCTTGAATTCGAATATGTAAAATTCTATTTGATAAATAAATGATGTAAGTCACTTAAAATTAATTATGAGAAAATGGTCTTCTTATAGCTTAAGATATGTGGTGAAAGAGTACTCTACTGACGGATCAATTAAATTTAAGATAGTGGTTGTTGAGTTTTTCTACCAAATTCAAAACAAGATTATGGATAATGTATATCTTATTAAAGGCTCAATGAATAATACTAACATTTAGTTGCTAACTTGGTTAGAATTGGTAGAAAGTAAGAAGATTAAACAACAGAAACTATGATTTATAAAGTTTGAAGATAACTTAAGAGTCACAGTTGATTGATCACTGGGTGGCGATCAATGTCATGCGTGTCTAGTCCTTATTAGTGCAGATCGAATGCTATCGATCATGTTGCAATGTGGCCACCAGTCTAGGTGACTCGACATTGCGGGCACTATGTATATACCTCCAACCACCATCTAATCTCAATATACAGTTCCCGCAATGTCGAGTCACCTAGACTGGTGGCCACATTGCAACATGGTCGATAGCATTGGATCTGCACTAATAGGGACTAGATACCCATGACATTGATCGCCACCCAGTGATCAATCAATTGTGATTACACCTCAGTCCTACAGGAGGTCGGTCGCGGCTCGGATAGCTCAGTGGTAACGTCTCTGACTGTGAAGCTGGGTGACACGAGGTCGAATCCGACAGGAAGCACCAGTTCCCTCAAGATTACAGGTACACCTTGCTGACGAGTGCCAAGTAGCACGAAACCCGGGTCCAGGGTTTCCTGTCGACTAACTCCAGCCACCATACAACTTAAGAGTTCTTGATTCTAAAAATACCATAACTAACTACGTAAGTATTCAACATTACTTTTTCTGGTTAGTGTTTTTTTAACGAGCTGATTTTCTACGGGATGAGGTCAATAACCTTATCCCCAACCCTCCTCCTTTACCCGGGCTTGGGACCGGCAGTAACTTTAAAAGAGATACAGGCGGAGTTAAGTATTCAACATATGGAACTTTAAATTATTCATCAACTCGACTTCTTTTCACTACTTCTAATCGTCAATGCAATACTTTCATAATAGTCTTAACCCAGACATAACTTTCATGTACTTTCTTGTAATAAATTACTCATGAATATCAAGTTCATTTTGAGTTGTTGAAAATCCGATTAATTTGTGAAGGCTATTGTAAAATCTTTAAAGATTACATGTTTAGTTTATTCAACCATATACATTAATATATATATATATATATATATATATATATATATATATATCTTCTAATTTTACAATATTCACTATTATAAACTGATTGGTTCGACTAATGACTTTTAATAGAACAATGAACTGATTACAATCGAAATGAATCTTCGATTTCATTAAACATAAACTGGTATTTTATTAATTGAATTCATGAGTCAATTGAAGCTAGACCACCATGGAAAACCTGTAAGTACTAGATGGCCATTTTATTCTAGTATGGGACTCCTCAGAAGTTCGCATCCACGATCCCGCCTAGCGAGATTCGAGCCCAAGAGCTATCAGTCTCATTCGCGAACGCTTAACTTCTAGACCACTGAGCCGTCATCCATCAGTGTTAATGTCTAACTTCAACCAATCCACAAAATTACACCACCGTCCACCATTGTCATCAGTGAGCTACTATCTCACAACAGATCCAATTGAACTCCACTGGTCACTGCTTCTCACTAGAACTCCAGGAAATAATCCTTGGAGACAGTTACTATTGAGCATATGATGATGATGATGATGATGATCAGAGAGGGATTTCATGAACATTGTATTAATTAAATAATTGAATTCATGAGTCAATAAACTGATATCTATCAATCACTTAATCTATTTATGAATTGAATATTCACTTAAATTTTATTTAATCATAAGTAAAAATTTCAAGTCACTTCAAGTTATTCATTAACGTTTCACTATGTTTTCAAAGAAACTCCTTTTTTTTAAAATGATAAATTAAAACATTAATCCATTCATGATATCAATCAAAATTTAATTAAAGTAAATGTGTTTCTATCTTTTATACCTTAAAAGTACAATCAAATAAATTTAACTAAACATAAAGACAATTTGAACCTCAATGAAATTCATATGTCTTAAATATGTTATTGTTCCATGGAAACATCCAAAAACACAAACACACACACACACACAAAAGAAGAAAAAGAAAAGAAAGGACAAAAGTTAGAAAGAGAGGAATGAAGAGAACTGGAAAAAAGAAGAACAAAGACTCACAAAACAATAGAAAATAAACAAAATAAAGAATTCGCGAGAAAAAAAATATATATATATATACAAGCGATTTGTTATATAACGATGAAAAATAATAAATTATTCCCAGTTGATAATGATAATGAAAACGAGTACAAGTATTCGTGGTTGTAAATAGGTTCGCACACGCACACGCACACGCACACGCACACGCACACGCACACGCACAAAAGAATGTGTAATAACACATGTTGAAAAACTCTTACTACTCACTAGTAAACAATTAAAACAAAAATGTTTAGTAAACCTCAAATAGGCATAAAACACATATACATAGTAACTGAGATGTACAATACAACGTACTATTTAACATCTTAATGAGAAGAAAAAATGATTTAAAATTTCTCAGTTTTTTATTTATTTTGTTCTAATGAATGCCTCATTAATAACTGTAGTTCTTTTTTCATATACAGATATTTATGATTTTAATTTGTTTTCCCTTGTAAACGAAAGTACATCTTTTGGGGCATGTACTTATGTTTATTGTTATCAACTTTTATTGAAGTAATATATTTTTGCGGGGGGAGGGAGGAATTTTATTGAAACATCATTTGTTTTAAGTAACAGATTCATAATCTATATTAATAGTGGAATTCATGTGTCGATTGAAGCTAGACCATCATGGAAAACCTGCAAGTACTGGATTGCTGTTTCATCCTAGTATGGGATTCTTCAGGAGTGCGCATCCACGATCCCACCTCGCAAGATTCGAAGCGTTGGCGCTTTACCTCTAGACCACTGAGCTGGCATCTAATGGTGTTAATGTCTAACTTCAAACCAGCTAGTAGAATTACTGTAATATCCACAAAACCCCTCTCTGATCATAATCTATCGTTTTTTTTAAATTGTGTTTAATTTAAAGTATTTTTAATAAGGTGATATAAGTTGTTCACTCATAACTTATTTCAAGACAAGTTTTTGAAGTTCTTTTGAAAAATTATGATAAATGGAGTTCAACATAATTAATAATGAAGTAGTTGCTACCATTGTGTTATATCATGAATTGATCAATAAAATTTTTATCATTATACATCATTGTATTGTCTGATGGTAAAGCATTCACCATGAAACTTAAAAGCTCTAATATCGCCGGTAGGCTTTTCTAAATCACCATGCACTGGTATAAAATAGCTGTCCAATCGTCCATGGTTTGGGATGATAATCAAAGGAGATCGATCCATAATGAATATCACTAGAAGACTTAAAATTAAATAATTACAATATTCCATCTAATAATTTGCCTGGAATCTTTGTTTAGGACTACTCAGAATTGCATACTCATGATACCATATGAGATCGGAATTGAGATTATCTGAATTTGAAATTAACACAAAACAGTTCTTATCTATTGGTTTTCATTTTTAACTGTAATCAGTTTGTGATATGACATAACACTCATCTAATATTATCCATTTCATTTCAAATATTTTTTAAATTTACTTACTGGTTGGCGTTTTTTTAGCGAGTTAGTTTTCTACGGGATGGGGTCGCTAACCCCATGCCCAACCCTCCTCCTTTATCCGGACTTAGAACCGGCAGTAGCCCCCGGAGGGACTCCAGGCGGAGTTATTTTTGAAATTTACCAACCACAAATTTACATTAAGATTTCAATATTCTATTTTAGAGTTGATAATTTGTCAGCATAAGATTAGTAGTAACCTAAGATTTGGGACCACTGACTTATTATATTATTGTATTTACTATCATATTTTAAGCTACTATGTTCAACTAAATGTGTATGGTTATAGGTGAATACCAGATTAGAACTCTTAAACTGGAACAAAACAACTGACCAATTATACAATTAACATCCCTTTGTAATGATGACCAGGATCACATTGATATATCTCTACAAACAAGTTCCTTATATTAATGAACGTTTTTATATTACAAGTAAGGGGTGGTAAAAGTAGTGGTGTGAGTGGTAATAATAATAATAATAATCATGGAAAGAAATGTATATTTCAACTATTTAGGAAGTACTGATTTAAATTACTATTAACTGAAATAACAATACAATTACAATTCATTTCTAATTCCTTTAAATTGTATATTTTTTTTCTAGGTAAACCAATTCAATGTTGGGTACCACAAGAATTTACTAAATCATGGGAAGAATATGCTGAAAATTTATGTTGGGTATCAAACACATATTTTTTATTACCTAATGAAGAAATACCAACAGATCAAGTAGATTATGAAAAAGTTAAATTTATTGGTTATTATCAATGGGTTGCAATAGTTTTAGCTGGTCAAGCTATGATGTCATGGGTTCCACATTTATTATGGCGTGTTGGTTCAAGACGTTTACCATTATTATTAAAATCAGCAAGAGAAGCCGCTATACCAGATCGTGAATTACGCTTAAAAGCGGTATCATGTTTAGTAGCTACATTAGAAGAACAAGCTGAATCTCAATCAAGATTTCGACGAATTAAATCAATATTAACTCGTTGTTTATGTGGTGTTACACCAAATGCACGTTTAACTATGTTATTTTTATTTGTAAGAGCATTATTTGTAGCTAATTCAGTTGGACAAATTTATTTAATGAAACGTTTTACCGGTTTTAATAGTACCGTATTTGGATTAAGATTATTACAAGATTTATCAGCTGGTGTTGAATGGGAACGAACTGGACATTTTCCCCGTGTTACATATTGTACTATAAAAGTTCGTAAAATGGGTCAAACTAAACCAGCAAGGTAAGTTATATGTATATATATATATTTAATACTTTATAAATTGATTCTAGTTTTATGCATAAATACATCATTTATCAGTTGTTTTTTTTGTTTATTATTGAATATTGAATTTTGATAAGAATGCATCTCTTGTATCTATCATAATCTAAAGATATGTATGAATGAATACCTAATAGGCAGATTTATTAAACGGGATTCTGATAGTTGCCATAAAATTCTAGATAGTTTACGACAGTCTAAAGGTTCATTTTTTTATTATAAACAAACAAACAAACTAGAATTGGTTTTGTGAATGATCTTGACTTGAAAATTATTATATTGTCTATAAAACTCTTTGTTGAACTGAAGATAAATAAGAATCATACATCTAAAGAATTAAAACTTCAATCTTCATCCCATAATTTGTCAGTCTTTAGACATAAAGTATCGATATTTTTTTATGAAACAACATGATCTCCTAGTTACTGTTAACTTACTTCATTAATTAACATATTCAAAATTAACTTTTTTGATATGATAACTATTAAATATTGTTCTAAAAAGTTCCCTTTTACTTAGATTTGTCCGATTAATCTTATATTCTTTTCAACGATCTTATACTATTTGTTACTATCTGATTAAGTCAACTTATTATTTTCTTTTTCGATTCAAAAATTTTCAGTAACTTTGCTTTAACGATCTTTTTAATCTTTTTTTTATTTTTATTTTTCAAAATGTAATTAATCGATAATGTTCTTTTTCAAGTTTCCTATTGATCATCATGTCTAGGTAAATCATTTTATTTATAGGATCTCTTATAGGATCAATCTAGTTTTGCCTTTTTTCTTTTCTTTGAATACTTAATCTAATCAGTATTACGTAATCCATTTTTAACATGATGTTTCAATTCTTTTTTAATTTTATTATGGATTGATTGAAATTAGACATTAATATCTTTGAATACCAACCCACTCAGTGGTCTAGTTGGTTAGGCACCTGGCGCAAGACTGATAAGTCCTGGGTTCGAATGTCTCGAGGTGGGGTCATGGATGTGGACTGCTGAGGAGTTCCATACTAGGACGAAACGGCCGTCCAGTGCTTCAAGATTTCCATGGTGGTCTAGCTTCAATTGACTCATGATTTCATTTAGTGTACTACAGAAATCTTTGAATTCTATAATTTTTCTTTTTTGACGCCCCCCCCCCTCTTTCTCTATAAAGATCCAACAAGAAAAATTAGTTAGAAATGGGAAAATTATTTTTGAACTTATTCATAAGATCAATAATGATTCTTTTTATGCATAGATAGGTATACTGAAAATATAAATGTATGTATATGTTTATCTTTCATATAAAACATATTTGTAGGTGTGAAGAGATTTAAGTTGTATAGTGATTATTCTATAAATTATAAGTTGTAATTAGACATAGAAAAAGAATAGTCTTACCAATAATTAATTAGGAGAATAGTTTCTTATTACTATTATTATTTTTTCATTGTTTCACATTTAATTATAACTAAGATGAAAGCTAACAAGTAAACTATACTTGAAGACCAACATGACAAATGAATGAGTTGAATGAAGGGGAGGGGGAGATTTACAGTATATGAGTATGTTTAGATTTAGACTTTAGTATATTTCATTCTGAATAAAGAATATTGTCTTTAATGAATGATTAAATCGCTAAGGTATATTTAATTATTCATGAAATCTATGGAAGATTATATTAGAAAATAAATGTGTTGTTATAAGTTTATAATGTATAAATGAAATTTTGAAGAACAAATGTGAAGAGATAGGATATTGATATTTAAGTGTGTGGTCGGTACAAAGTTGTATTATAGTGAATAAGAAAACTAGTGAGGACAACGAGGATGTATTTTAATACAAAACTACAGAACATCTTTGTAAAATCTGAGAATTATACAGTAAATACAAGATGTCTACTAATTATCTCAGACTTTGTTGTTCCTTCATTTCTATACCAATTATTCTCTGTTCTCGTTGTCTTCTGTTTTATCCTTTTCAACCTTCTTCTCCCAGACATTCCATTTTTGATTGGTGATACATACAACTTATATCTGTCAACATCAGTAGCACACACTACAATATCATTTGAAAATAAAGTAAACCAAAGAAAATCGTCTTTATTTTAGAAAAACAAAATTAAACTAATTGAATCTTGTTCTAATGAAGTGGTTGTGATATGCATGGATTGTGTAACATGTTACCAAAACAAAATTTGAAACTTACTTACTTACTTACGCCTGTTACTCCTCGTGAAGGAGCATAGGCCGCTCACCAGCATTCTCCATCCAACCCTGTCCCAAGCAATCCTTTCCAGCTCCTTCCAGTCATTATTCATCATTTTCATATCTGCTTCTATTTCCCGACGTAATGTGTTCTTTGGCCTTCCTCTTTTCCGCTACCCATCAGGATTCCAAGTTAGGGCTTGTCTCATGATGCAGTTTGATGATTTGCGTAATGTATGTCTTATCCATTTCTATCGTCTTTTCCTAATTTCTTCTTCAGCTGAAAGTTGGTTTGTTCTCTCCCACACAAGGCTGTTGCTGATGGTATCCGGCCAATGGATGTTGAGTATCTTGCGTAGACAGCTATTTATAAAAACTTGTACTTTCTTGATTGTGGTTGTTGTAGTTCTCCAAGTTTCAGCTCCATATAGTAGAACTGCCTTGACGTTCGTATTGAAGATTCTTACTTTGATATTGGTTGAAAGTCGTTTTGAGTTCCATATGTTCTTTAATTGTAGGAATGCGACCCTTGCTTTGCCGATCCTCGCCTTTACGTCTGCATCTGAACCTCCTTATTCATCGATGATGCTTCCTAGGTATGTGAAGGACTCTGCATCTTCCAGAGTTTCGCCATCAAGAGTGATTGGACTGCTGTTCTCCACTTTGAATTTGAGGACCTCGGTTTTCCCTTTGTGTATGCTGAGGCCTACTGATGCAGAGACTGCTGCTACACTGGCTGTCTTCGTCTGCATCTGTTCGTGTTTACGTGATAGGAGGGCTAAAATTCTGAAACTAGTCCATGAAATTATCGACTGTTTGAATGTGTGTTCTTGCTCTTTTCAAAATTATCGACTTTCATACTGAATAATGTAGGTAGATACAAATTAATTACTCGATGGCCAAATGTAACCAAATGTCAGAGATTTTGGATGACAAGGGGCAGATGATTCCACTTTTTATCTTTCCCTTAGATTGTAACTTTTTTTGGTCATCTACAAAATATTTTTTATTTGACAAATGTATATTTTTCAAGCAGTGCATGACTAACTAATGAATGATGGACGCTAACTCAGTGGTTTAGAAGTTAAGCGTTCGCGTGTGAGATCGATAGGTCCTGGTTTCGAATTTCACGGGGTGGGATCGTGGATGCGCACTGCTAAGGAGTCACACACTAGGAAGAAACGGCCGTTCAGTGCTTCCAGGTTTTCCATGTTGGTCTAGTTTCAATTGACTTATGAATTCAACTAGTAAATTACTATAATATCCATAAAACCACTTTCTAATAATAATGAATGAGTGACTAAATATTTAAATAAAGACTATAGAAATCGACAAAATATTATAATCCATTGTTTGTCCGTTCTTTATTATTAAGTAAAACTTGTGGAATAGAACTGAGTCTAAAATTCTGAAAGAAAATAAAGATGGTATTTTACCATAGTTACTAGTATTCACATCAACGTATATGGTTTCTAAGGTACGATTCACAATCTCTGAGTGTAAAATCAATCTATTCAATTTATTATATTTGAAATAATCTTAGCGATTGAAATTTAAATAATTCCAACGTTTTGTCCAGTAAACTTGACTGGATTGTTACCCTTGAAGAAGTTCAGAAAAGTATACTGGACAAAACGAAACGATTTCAAATTTCAATCGATGAGATTATCTCAAATATAATTTTGACATATAATGACTTCTTTATACTTGGCCCCCAACTTTCGTCAAACTATTCATTCTAATTATCAGAATGGGTTTTATGGAGATTTTTAGATATTTCACTGGTTGAAATCATGAGTCAATTGAAGCTAGACCAACATGGAAAACCTGAAGGCAGTGTACGGCCGTTTCGTCCTAGTATGGGACTCCTCAGCAGTGCGCATCCACGATCTCGCCCACCGCGTGATTCGAACCCAGTGATTCCAGGTTTTCCATGGTGGTCTAACTTCAATTGACTCATGATTTCAACCAGTGAAAGATTCATTCGAATATTGATGAATGTTCATATAAATTTATTCAACATACTATGAAGATACTTTTAAATCATGAGATAGATTTTCACAAGTTTGATATGATTTATATAATCAGTTAGGTAAGAAATGAGGTTAGATATTTAATACATTATGGTTTGACTATAAAATTGACAAATAAACTACATTAACAGAATGGGTTTTGTGGAGATTTTAGAAAGTTCACAGATTGAAATCATGAGTCAGTTGAAGCTAGACCACCATTGAAAACCTGGAAGCACTGGACGGCCGTTTCGTCCTAGTATGGGACTCCTCAGCAGTGCGCATCCACGATCCCGCACCACGCGGGGCTCGAACCCAGGACCTACTGGCTTCGCGCGCGAGCATTTAACCACTAGACCACTGAGCCGGCATCCAACTCTGTTAATGTCTAACTTCAACCAATCCACGAAGTTGCGCCACCGTACACCATTGTCTTCAGTGAGTTCCTATCTCACAACAGACCTGGTTGAACTCCACTGGTAACGGCTTCTCACTAGAACTTCGGGAGTTTTTCCTGAAGTCAGTCACTAGTGATCCAACTTTTTAAAACAACAATAATATCTGTATTTGTTCAAACATTCAGCTTAGAGACTGTGACATCACTAGAAAAATTAATCCCTTGAAGTTTCATGGGTAAATTAAAACTACCATTCATTAATAGCCAACTTACAAAGCTTTCTTATATATGTCCTACTTGAGTTAGGAAAAATTTATCAAATCTATCTTAGATTATATAGAAGAATAGTACAAAACTAG